TCCTCCTCCTTGTGGGCTCAAAAATCTGCTGCAGACCACTTCCATCTGCTCAGCTGCCACTCTTCAGAGAAAAACCTAGCAACCCTGTCAACCCCTTTTTGCTTTCATCACTTTTTTGACCTTCCTTTTACTACTTCATACAATGGAAGTTTCCCTCCCTTTTCTTCTTTGGCCTTTCTGATCCTTTTATCTCTTTGGTAAATCTTCCCATAACACAGCAGCCCATTATACCAGGCTAAGCATATTGAAGGGCAACAGTCTGGTCTGCAGTAATTGTTCCATTACTCTGCTTTCTCATCAACTTCCTTCACTTTTCATTAGAACTTAATAAGCACATCCAAATCTACACCTCTAATCACCAGGGCTTTTGAGTCAGTATCATTGTTTCAAAATTAATTCATCTTTACCAATCTAAGGACTGAAGGGTAAAAGTTCTGGATTGTGATGATTCAAAAAGAGTTTTCAGAACATCATGATGACATCAGTCTATAACAACAGGCTCCACTTTTGGGGGGCACTGAGAACATCAGAGTTACATGAGGGTGGAGGCAGGAGGAGGCACACGAGATGCTCTCATAAACTTCATACTTAATTCAATTTCTAAAGCCAACAGTTAATAGCAAACACAGCAAAAAGCCAGAAAGTCCAGTTCTCATTTTCCATGAGCTTTCTTATACTATTTCATCATACATAGTTGATTCTCAAGAATTCCAGACAAAATGAGGTACATGCACTTTCCAAAAATCCAAAATAATCAGCTCCTCTAAAAATACTCCTTTCAACTCATCTTTCCTATTTCAGTAAAAAACACCTAATTATTCTTACATGGCACAAAAGCTCAACTTTGTTTCACGTAAATTTAACAGCAAAGCATCAAGTTATCAAGTTTCCCTTGGAATGTTTCCCAAATAATCCTTTCTTTCTCATTTTTTTCTTCCATAGTCACAGCAAGCGTCAATCATTCACAACTTCCCAAAGTCAAAAAAAGCCCCAGTCTTTGCTCTACCAGATCTTTTAAAATCTGTTAACAGAGGTAAACTAGTCCTTGAGCTTAAACTTCTTTAGGCCTCCAATCCCTCCCCACACCAATCCATGCTGCAGGTAAGGTTTCAAAAGCCATTTATCATGTCGCCATCTTGGCAAGGCATTGACCCCAGCAACACTAAACCCCTTACTGCATACTTGACATCCTCTACAATCTGTCAACAATGTATCTTTTAACACTAAACCTCTAACCACCTCCTTTACAAACCACCCATCTCCTCTGGGTTCTCAGGTGTACTTGCTTTCCCAGAACAGCTCTGGCCATTTTAATACTTTCCCTCTTCTATTTTCTGGAAGTTTAATTATCAAAAATCCAGCTTTTTAGTGAAACAATCCTTCCCCACTTCTGGAAAAAAAAAAAAAAAAAAAAAAGACATATATCCTTTCGACTATGCACTGGACATTTTGCTGAATACTGAGTCCTACTGTCCACTTACTATGTTGTCTCCACAACTAGATTGTACAATCTGAAATATAACGGTATATTTCTTTTAAGCCTGTAGGTAAGAACTTGGAAAACAGTAATTTTATCTTGTATAAAAATAAAGATTTCTATAATGGATTTGCATGAGAATAACTCAGACCACAGCATTCTATAATGAATCCGCTTTCCTAAACACAAAATAACTGATAAAAAATATTAAACTTGGGAGCTGGGAGTGCAATTCAGTGACAAGTGCAGACCTAGCACATGCAAGGTCCTGGCCTCCATTCCAACACCTCTTCCACACACACAAAAACCCCTTCAACTTAGGTTTGGAGAATGTATGACTACAATCTAGGACCCTTCTTCATCCATGGACCACATAAGACTACTGACTGAAGGTATTAGGAACATAAACCTTGCAGTACTTCTAAGAGGAGAAGAATCACCAAAGAAATTAAGAAGTAGTCTCTACAAAATATGAGACATGAATCTGCACAACTCTCCTTCACCCAGGAATAAACATACTATGTCCTTAGAATGAAATGGAACATCTCTTTTTTCTATACTAGCAGTCTGTATACCAGCAGGAAAATTAAAGAGATAAAGATACATTGATTGCAACAGAAACATTCTAGTAGCAACAATCTATCCTGTTTAAAAATACTCTATATAGTTACAAATCAACTGCCTAAAGTTACATCACAGAACTGTGTTTGTAGTCCAACTGTGTGGATACTTGACAATGACAGAGTCAACAGAATGAATTCATAATTATAGTAAATCACCGAGACAGGGCTGTCATTTTGCCACACCAAAAGAATCCTATTGGTTTCGTACTTACTGTTGGCTGATGAGTTGAGTTCATTCTTAATCTTTGATTTTTCAAGATCTTCTTTATATTCTTTCTTGAGCAATTTTACTATCTTTTTGCTATAACTTGATTTCTTCACTTTGAAAACCTCTTCATTTTCTTAAAAAAAAATTAAATGAAGTCTGTAGCAACCATTTTCAGAAAGTATTTTAAGCTTCTTTACATATTCAAAGTCTTCTAAATATACACTCATACACCAAATTCATTACATAATTTGAAGTTATTTCAACTTATCACAGACTCTCAAAAACTGGTCAGCTTCAAAAATTAATTTGCATACATAATTTGATGAAATTTTCAAGACATGATACATGTAATTTCTCAAAAATTTTCTGTGGTTTTCCTCAAATTGTTTACTTTGGGAGGGAAAAAAATCAAATTATTAAGGCACATTAGGCAACATATTCTAGTCCGGCATGGAGGTGCACCCAGTAATCCCAGTACTTGGGAGGCTAAGGCATGGGGACTGGCATGAGTTGGAGGCAAGCCTAGGCTACACAGTGAGTTCAGGGACAGTCTGAACTACACACCAAGACCATGTCTCAAAAAACCAAAAAGAAGGGCCTGGAGATTTAGCTCAGTGGCATAAGCGCCTGCCTTGCAAGCAGGCAGTCGTGAGTTCGATCCCCGGTACCGATAAAAAGGAAAAAGACAGAAGAAAAAAAAAAAAAAAAAAAAAAACCAAAACCACAACAAAAACACCAACATATTCTAAGTTAAAAGGTGCTGTCAAGTTTGAAAACTCTACATCCATCACAAGCTGACACACTTACAGTACTTCCACTAAACTGTGAGGATATCACTTTGCAAAAATAAGCTTCAATTATATATCCATTCTCTGCCTTGAATTTTCAAGTTAAGCACAAAATGCAGCCCCAGACAAAACTGAGCCAGAAACCAGGGGTGGTGGTTCATGCCTGTAATCCCAGCACTGGGGAGGCTGAGGCAGGAGGATCCTTGGGAGTTTGAGACCAGTCTGGGCTACAAAGTGAGTTCAAGGCCAGCCTGAACTGCATAGAGACCCTGTCTCAAAAAGACAAAACAAAAACAAACAAACAAACAAACAAAACTGAGCCAGGCGTGGAGGCTCACGACTGTAATGCCAGCACTTGGGAGGCTGAGGCAGGAGGATCATTGTGAGTTGAGACCAGCTTGGGCTACAAAGTGAGCTTAAAGCGAGCCCAAAGTGCATTGGGGGACCCTGTCTCAAAAACCACACACATACAAAAAGGACAAAAACTGGCCTGTGCACTCTCAAACAACATAAAGAATAACTACAAAAGCCAAAGATAAACTGCCTTTCTTTCTTAGAGACAGGAAAGCAAAAATTGAATTAAGATGCAAGGAATTCCAAATTTCATTTCTTCTAACATGAAATTGCTTTAAACACATTGAACTGGTCAAGAAATAAAGAGATTTAAGGCTCATTTAAGATCAGAAAGCTCAATCCACTACAGCTGGACCTCTCATAAGCGCCTGCAGAAAATGGCTTTTATCACACGGTCCCTTGTCACTGTTCCAAAATCAACGCGAAAGTGCATATAAAGATACTCCTAATTACGTCTATGGGGAAACGGTGGCTCGGGGTTTGCAAAGGACTGGCCCAAGGTCACTAGGAACCAAAGCTGCGACTCTGGATTTCTAAAACCAGACCTAGTTTCCCTCGCCATAAAGCCGTCCTTCTGGTCAAAGATGCTGCGTGGACAGAGCGGCCAACCAGGCCCGCGCACGGTGGCTCGCAGAGGGCCCCGAGTGTGCCAAGAGCACTAAATGGAGGGGCTCCAATCAAGTTCTCTCCAAAACACACCCTGCAGCAAAGAGGCAGAAGGGGCAATAAAGTGCCACTTAAACTCACGACGACTGATCAGAGTTTCTGCCCCTGGGAGTAAGAAATGCACAGGAGGATAGAGACAAAATCCTCCTGTGGCTGTACAGACAAAACTGGTGGCAGCGCGGGAACCCGTCCCCGACCCTGGCAGAAGGCCGGGGGCGGGGAAAGATTTGCAGGCGGCCGGGCGGGAAGGGTTTGGCTCCCGGGTGCCGGGTGCAGGGGCTGGTACATGGATGCGCTATCTGGGGACCAAGAATTGGCAGTTACCTTCCTCCTCGTCCTGGAAGCTCAGCAAGCTGGCCCTGGGTACTTCTTTGTTCTCGCGAGGCCTCTTGCGCGGCTTCAGTCCGTTGCCAGGCTCCGCGCCGCCCGGAAAGCCGCCCCCGGCCTCGGCCCCCAGGCCAGGGCCCAGCGCCGAGGGCGGTGGCGGCCCCGGGCCCAGCAGCGACTCCTCCCCGGGGGGCCTGTCGCCGCCGCCAGTGCCCCGCTCCTCGCCAGTGGCCGGCGGCGGTAGCAACGGCGGCGGCTCCAGCTCCTCATCGCGCTCCCGCTCCTCCTCCTCCGAGTCGTTCCGCTTGCGCACGTTCACCCGCCGGGCTTTTCGGAACATCCCCGCGCCTCGCACAGCGGACGCAACACCAGTTCCCACCCGGCGGCCCAAGCAGTACAGAGCTAGTGACGGCGCAGGCGCACTATCCGAAGTCTCAGCCCGGTGTGGTCCCCTCAATCGCCACTGCGCACTACAGACCACGCGTGCGCTTGCGCTCGAGCTCGACGCTCTCCCACTGCGTGAGAAAGAGCGCCCAGTGCCTGTGTATGAGACACCGTAGATTTTTTTTTTTTGCCAGCGCCACCTGTCGGCTTGGAAAATTATTGGTATAGAACATTGGGACTCAGTGTTATTGGACAGGTCACAAAGAGGATCATCGAGATGGCATGATAGAGTGGCCTCAGTCGCCTCTTCCAAAATGTTGCTGCAATGCGCCTTCCGCATTTACGTGAAAGGTCACGTGGAAAACCTCCCGCCATGCGCTGGGTGGGGCTAGTGAAGGCGGCGGGGAAGGCGGGAGTTACTGGGTTCGGCGGGGAAAGTGTATTCGGGGAATGGCTGTTCATTCAGAGCTGTGACTGAGGTGACACTACGGTAATTATTCGTATTTCTACAGGTTTATGCCCACAGAGGTTTTTTAAAGACACTGAATTTCGGGGCTGGGGATTTAGCTCAGAGGCATAAGCGCCTGCCTTGCAGGCAGGCAGTCGTGAGTTCGATCCCCGGTACCGATAAAAAGGAAAAAGACAAAAAAAAAAAAAAAGACATTAAGTTTCATTATTAAAGTGTTGCTAGGGTGACGCTCCACCCCCAGCCGCTACAAAGAAAGCAGAAGTGTTTTAGTGTTGTGGAGAAATTGCCAGGTTTGCTAGCAGTTCTGTGTCTCCTTTTCGAAGCATAGTCGGTGTCAGGAAAAAAAAAAAACAAACCAAAACTTGGGGGTGGGGTTGTTAGGGTTTTCAGATTTGCGTCGCAGAGGGATCGTCTTGTCGAGGCCTGTCGGCGGTCGCCCGTGAAGTTAAATGCATATACTTTTCCTTTTTCTTCGCCAGACTTGGAGCTCATCCTTCCGGCAGGACACGTGTATCCTTGAGCTAATGCGAATGTTTGTGAATTCCTTTGCCATGCTTCAAAATTCAAAAAGTAACATAGGAAAAAAAAAAAAAAACCGCACTTCCTTCCCAGCCGAGTTAAGTTTTTCATGATCCTCCGGAGATACCTCCTGAGCATAAAAGCCTATAATTATGTACAATCGAAAAGAATTTCCGTCCTTTAATCAGGTGGTGGCAAGCAGGATTTTTAATACAGCATAGACTGGAGATCGTATGTGCGGAAAAGGCGTTGTCTCTTTTACCGAGCTGCATCATATATTTAAACAGCCCCATAAAATTTGACATTTAGGTTATTTCTAGTCTCATTGTTTGGGTTCAAAAAAATAATACCTCAAACTCTGAAGCTGTGGCACACGGGAATTTTTTTTTAACCAGCAATCAAACTCAGGGCCTTGCACTTGCCAGGCAGGTGCTGTGCCCCTGAGCTACTCCTGGCCCTCACACTGAGAACTTGGAACTAAAGGAATTTCCTACCTTGTTCCTCAGCCCATTCTTCCCACTCCCAAAGTTTAGGGAAAAGCTTTCTCTGGGCCTCTTTATTTGCCTAGGTTCTACAAAAGAGAACCTCATTGTTATGAATCCCCGTTTCTGGATTATTTCATCACTAGGGACCATTAACTGTATTAATGACTGAAGGTGACAACGTGTCCAGTCATAATCATGTTTTTTTTTTAAATTTTTTCTTTCTTTATATCGGTACCGGGGATCGAACTTACGACCGCCTGCCTGCTTGCCAGGCAGGTGCTTATGCCGCTCAGCTAAATCCCCAGCCCGTTTTTTTTTTTTTTGATGGGCTACTAGAAGACAGCTTAAACTATCAAAGAAACTACATAATTAGACAAGCTTTTATTGCCATATCTGGTATCTTACCTTCCCATAACTTGTCATTACCTCTCCTCCAGACATCTTACACTCTTATAATTTTCTGTAGCTCCATATACTATAAAAATTTCAGTGAGCCGATCCTTCTTCAAGTCTTATGTATCATGGAACATCTGTGCGTATGCATGTAAGATAAAATGTTTTTTCTCCTGTTAATCTATTTACTGTCTTCATTTCATAGACTCAATTATTGAACCTTCAGAAAGTAGAACTTACTCTCTTCCCTCCACTATGGTAGTGCTTCAGTATGGCACATGTCTGTAATTCCAGCACTCCAGAGGCTGAGCAGGAGGATCACTGCAAATTCCAGACGAGCCGGGGGTACAAAGTGAGTTAAAGGCCAGCCTGAACTTTATAGTGAAACCCCATCCCTCCCCTCAAAAAAGCTTCAATAAAAAGTTTTGAAAAATTGCCACATCTGTAGGATTGACTAGATTTGGAATAGCTGAATTCTAGTGTATGTAATTTTCACTTTTCTAGTGAAAACTGCTCTTTATAGAAGTTTAAAATATATTCTTATCCCAGCAAAGATGAGTGCTCTAGTTTGTTCATACTATCCCAGTAAAATTTCACTGAGATTTAAATTCTGAAGCAGAACAATATGTCACTTTACAGTGAGTGAAAATACTCAAAAACACCCAGTGAAAGAATTTCTATATTTTAAAAAGTAATTTGTATTTCATATACCTCTGTGTCTCTTTGGTTTTTCTTCATCAGAAACTTTCCCTCCTAGGATCCAGCTTTTGAGCTAAGAACTTCCTCAGTAATAGTTTCCCAAACTTAAAAGGAAAAATGAATACTGTTTGGCTTCTATTCTATGCACTTTGCTCTCAGCTCTTATATTTTGTGGTTCAGCATTGGTTTAAAATCTAGTTCCAGTAGACTGTTTCACGGGTGAAATTGAACTCTCATTTTCAGTAACGGAAGATTCAAATTGTGCCTGGTTAGCTGACAGACACCTGGGCCAAAAGACAGATTTGCACTAAGATGATGAGGGCAGCAAAGATAAGGCTCAGAAACAGGTATTTTAAAATATTGGCCAGAACCTTTAAGAAGCTTTCACACCAGAAAGATGCTGATTGGATATAAATAGAAGGGAGAACACTTGTCATTTTATAGTGAGTCAAAATATTCAGAGATAGCAAATTATTTATAACTTTTCCAGCCTACCTATTCAGAGAGGTAAAGGGCAAAGTGAAATACTAAAAAGTCTTTCTGCCCAAGTAAGCCAAAATCCCTTCTACCACGTTTGTAGACCTTATGGTAATTAATTTCCCAAAACTGAATAGCTCTTTTAGTTGCTTGTAAGCCAGTAACCATTAGAAATGAATTATTAAAGTACTTCTGTACTTTGAGTCTTAAGTTGGCTAATTTATTAATACATCATCTCCATTTAATATGAAGCATGTTAAATATTCCAGTAGGACAAAAACTGCTTATATAGAAGTTATGCCAACCAGTTTGTTGGAATCAGCTAATTTTTAAGAGTCATGTTTCTAAGCAATAACTTTTTTTCCCACAAAATTGCAACTTTAGATAAGAAAATCTCTTCACTTCTGTGAAGAATGCTAATAGTATATGGTAGTTTGCATGTTTTTATACCCTTATTTGTCAAGCTAAAATGCATGAAAGCTATGAATCCTTCCTCAATTTTTATTTTTTAAAACTTTATTTAGCAGATAAAATATAATAATCTGTGAATCCATAATTAAGATTTTCCCTATAACTATCATATATATATACACACACACACACACACACACACACACACACACACACATATATATATATATATATATATATATATATATATATACACATTCCTGATATTGCTGAGGAAATGACTTAATTAGTTGAATTTCTTCAGCCCTTGCCTCAATAAAGGCAGTTCTGCATTACCTGAAGTATAATTCAAGCAAACTTCCTGGAGGAAAGGACTCTTCTGTTTTTTCAAAGCCATCTTCACAGAACCTTAAATACCGTTTGGCCCTCTGTATATGAGTATGAGTACAGTTAATGTTTGTTGACTGAATAGTAGTAGACATTATCCACTTATCTAGTGTGGTAATTATTCTACCCTATCTTGGGTTAAGTAAATCTTTTCTATAGTTCATATCCCTTTAGTCCTAAAACATGATCCTCAAAGTACTTGTTGTAAATTACTTAGACTTGAGAATTTTTTTTCAGTTTTTATTTTTTAATTATGTTTGCTATACATGATGATTACAATTTCTTGTAGGGAATTGACAGATGTACATAAAACATCATAATTCTTTTTCATCCCCTGCCCCTTCCCACCCTCCACCATTCATCTCCTGGTCCTCTTCCCTTTTGCAAAAGATCTGTCTCCCTGTTTCCTGTTATCTATCATTTATTTTGGTTTTTTTCAAAATTGTTTTCACATAATATAAGAGAAACTGCATTATTTATGCTTGTGTCTTATTTCACTTAACATTTTTATTTAAACAAACAAGGAATAGAAACAATACAGAATTTAAAAAGTAGTAGAAAATTAACAGTTAATTGCATATTGTTATCTTAGAAGTAGTTCATGTTACAAGATTTAGGCATAAAAATGATCAAACAAACAATGAAAGCACAAACTTCTTTTTGATGAATAACAGATTAGTAGTATAGCTATCTATCTTGTATATATATACGCATATATGTATATATATGTATACCTATATGCATATGATCTTTTCCCTTCTTTTTTTCCTTTCCCCTATCTCAGTTCTTTCCTTTTGAACATTTTCCTTTTCGTTATCATATCTGTTGTACATTTTGGATCTTTCCGTTTTGTTTTTCTTTTTACACTAGGGAGACTACGATATTTACAAATGACTCAAATTTTTATGGCAGAGTAGTACTGTTGTGTATAATATGATGTTTTCTTTATCCATTTATCTGCTTATGCATACATAAGGCATTTCTAAGGTCTGCCTCTTCTGAGTTATCCTGCTATAGACATAAATATGCATGTGTACTGTAATATATCTTTAATTCTATCAGGAAGATTCCTAGAAGGGGAATAGTTGAGTTGAATGGAGCTTCTAGTGTTAATTTGTTTGGGCATCTCCCTATTGATTTCTATAGTGGTTGAACTAATTTACTTTCTCACCAATAATGTGATAATAATTTACATTCCCACCAATAAAGAGTTTCTTTTCCCTCACATCCTTGCCAGCATTTGTTATTTGATTTCCTGTTCTTAGAGTAGTAATAGGCACCTTTTCTCTTCTGGCTCTGGGAACTGCTTCCTCTAGCGAGGAAGACACCCAACCTAGGAGCAAAAACCTAGTTCAGATTGGGCCAGGCATGGGTTACATTATACTGGTCGATCCAAAATGAATGAAATAATATTTTCAGAAGACTTTGCACGTGAAACAAACAATGCCTGGGACCGCAGTGACCTCAAAAGCTATAAAAAAGCCACAGACTGCTGTGATACCTAAGAACCAAGAAAATAAGTTATTGTATCAGGAAAGAAGGAAGCAGGTGTGGAGAAAACAGAAGAGGACAGGAAATAAATAGCATGCTGGATTCTAGTACTTTTCCAGGTCACTGAAACTGGACTGCACTCCTGTCTGTGGATTCCCTGAGATACCCCTGGAGTACCTATAGGAAATATCTTTTGGTTTTGTTGTTAATAATATTTTATTTTGCAGTATGTGTTTGTTTGCTTAAAATATTCAAGTTTATTTTTGTTAAAACGTTTGAGGCCAAAAACCAAAGCCCAACAAAACAACTTGAGTTTTTAAAAATTTGATATGATTGTTAATTTTATGCCTAAAAATTTACAACTTTTTTTAAATTACCAGTTTAATAACTTCAGCTGCTACTATTGTTTAGCAAAGAGCTCTTTATTTCTCTCCTTAAGGCTTTCCACAGGCATGCCTTTAAATAGCAGGTAAAAGTGAAGAAAGCTTTTTCTCCTCCAAGTACATAGTTATTGAAAGTAACTCACAAAGAAAGACAAGTACCTTCATTGCCATTCCCCACATGTAACTGTCCCTACTTTGAAATGGAAAATTCCTAAGCTTGAGTGTAGCTAATGGTAGGGCATGAAATTGGTGTGAGGCCAGGGGTCTAACCCTTAATACCAAAATATACCTAAATTATTTGTTTCAAATGCCATTAAAACTTAACCATTGTTTATAATGCAGTAAAATCAGCTTTTCTATTAAACCATTAGCATTGATTCAGCCCAGGTTTAAAAGATCCAGATTTTTAAAAAGTTATTTTGAAAAAAAAATGTCAGCCATACTTGTCAATGGCCCTTTAAATGTCTTCCTCATTAGAAAATGTGTAAGGATTTCTGGGACTAAAGCAGAATATTTTTCTGCAAGGTGATTATCAGATCTAGGGTGTCGCATTTAGTAAACTTTTCTTAGATTTCATGCATAGCTAAGAACTGTATAATCAAATGCAAAAGCAAAAGGTGACAAACATCACCTGTGCGGTATCAATGTGATTTATATATCATAGTTCTTCTGGAAGGAAAATTTTTAAATAGACACATTATTGAAGACAATAGTTGTAAACATTCCCTCTGGGCATAAATTATAGAGGAATTAATGTTTCTACTTTTGTATCCTTTAGTTTTACTAGAAGGCAGCAAAGTTGTACAATAAATACACAGTAAGATTGTAGTGGGATTACATCAAGAAAAATGAGACATAGGTTTAAATTTATTTAAAACTGTACATGGATGTTATGGCTTGTGTCTAGATGTTCTCCCAAAGCTCATATGGTCACAGGTAGGGCTTTTCACAGGTGACTGGATCTAGTGTGTGTGATGCAGGGATCAAGGGTGTGTGATTACTAAATTAGTCCACTGGTTGGTTGTGCATAGTTGTGGGAGTGGATAATGGGAAGGTCCTCCCTGGGAAAAATACAAGGGACAGAAAGAAGGTCCTTGCTTGTTGCTCTTTGCTGTCTACTGCTTTCCTGCTCTGCCTGCCTTAGAGCTAACTAATGATGAACTGAAATTATGTAAACCGTGAGCTACACAATAAACCTTTCCTCCTTTAACTTTGAGTATTGGGTATTTTGTCTCAGCAAGGAGACAAGAAACAAAGCAAATGAACTTTCAAAAGTAACCTTTTCCTAATTACAAAAATACTGCCTACACATCTTAGAAATTTAGAAAATGTAAAACAATGTAAAAAGGACAACCCAAAACACCCATGATTTTATTATACTTCTTGTTGTATTTTCTTCCAGAACTGTTTGAGGAATATTCATTTGCTCATTCATTCTCTGTAATATTCCAGAGGATAATCTCCCTACCTCCTTGGTTCCTGAACATCACCTTTCATTCAGTAGTCCTACCTACCACTCCAGCCACCTGCCCTGATGATTACACCCTGGACCTTTTCCACTTACTGGAGGTTGCTGGGAATATTATCCTGTAATTATTTCACTCCTGTCTGTCCAGTCTGCTTGCTCTCTGTACCAGTGCATCTATCACTTTCCTCCATCTACTATCTTCTTGTCTTTGTTTCTCTCCTTATCCATATTGGGCTTCACGGAACAAGAGCTATATTCTTTTGTAACATCTTCAGCTCTCTTGGCTTCTCTTCTTTGTTGTACTCTCGCAGGAGGACCCTAGCTGTGACAGAGCTAGAAATTGCCTTCTCTGCCCCTGTTTTGTTTTAAACGCTTAATACACAACTTTAATGGGCACTAAATATTACCACAGTATATTTCTTCATTGTGGAACACTTTGATATGTTTTTCTGAAGCATGTAAATCAATTGTTCAGAAATCACATAAGATTATGTGAGATGCTAATAATATAATCAGTGAGTATAGATTAAGTAGATAGTTACTGACAAATACAGAGACAATTTTGTATGCTGCGGACTGTCATCAATGAAGTATTTATAAAAAGCAATAATGTAGGAATTTTAAAAACAACAAATTCTCCCAAATAAAGATATTACAGGCACATTTTCCAAATAGAAAAAATTAACTGAAAAATCCAAAAAGTTAAGCAACATTCTTAATTGTCTAAAAAAAATACTTAACTACTTGGTAATTAATGAAGTTATGTAGAAATTAATAGAAATGTTGATATGTGAATATAAAAGTATATGGTATATAGATAAAATAATACTGTGTAGTTTTTGTTTATCATTGCAAAAATAACAAAGTATTCAACTTCAGAGAAGATTAGAAATAGCAAAACCATGTGGAAAGTGGGAATATTCAAAGAAAATTAAATTAGTAAATAGTAAATAAAATCCAAAATATAGGTATTATAGAAAAAATACTAAGGCTAGTAAAGTAACAACATGTTACACACACATATACCCCTCATAGCTTTAGGTATAACTAGAGATTGGGAAGAGGCTGAATCATGACAATATTATGTACAATGTAGTAATAATACCTCTGAAATTTTACAGATAATGTATTTTCCAGCAAAGTACAAACCACACAATACTGACTCAACAGACCAATAAGGAGAAACAAGAAAGATTTTTAAATTAAAATAAATACACTTTAGCTTTTAAAATGTGAAGATGACTTTATTTAAAAATCAGTTTCTCTTATCACTTTAATAAAACATGCATGTTAATGAAGAACTCACACATGTGAGGGATTTCAACTAATTTCTCTACCCAGTATTCTTCATATGTCTTCTTGGCTAATGTACTTTTCCAAACCATGACATAATTTTTATATAGTTTCCTCTTTTCTCAAAGCTCTTTATCCCATTCCCAACTAATCACTACAGAATTCTTCCCTGAAAAGATAAAATCCTCAGAAGGAACCAACTCTCCAAAACTTGCATCTATCCCCATCTCCCAGGCCTCCCCAGTCATGGAATTGAATGTATCCTCTTCCCCTTAAAGATTAATACAACAGTTTATGCACTATATCCCACTTCTTTACAGCCTTGACTCTCCAAGCCCTGTGCTGTATCTTCAGCATCATCAGCCCTTTCTACCATGTCATTCCAATCAGTGTACACACTTCCTTGATTCATTGAGAAACGACCTTTCTGGCCTCCCTGCAGTCATGAAGACCATTTTCTCCGGTCTCCACAGCTGAACTTGTCCATACAATGGTCTCTGCTCCTTGAACGTACTTCCTCAGGTGCAGTCCCTCTTCAGACCGCTCCCATCAGACTTCTGTTTCCACAACCTTGCTGACCCTCCGCTTGACAGCTTCCCTCATGACTCACCTCTTGTCAATCAGGAGGGCACCTCTGTGTTCCTCTCATTTAACCCATCAACAGCTTTCAGCCAACTAACTGCATGCATTTCAAGTTCAGCAGTCGCACATCATTGCAAAACTAATAACAAAAATAACGAATTTGACCTCGGAAAAGACTGAAAACAGCAAAGCAGTGTGGAAAGTAGGAATATTCAGGGATAAAATTGAAATTAGTAGATTACAAAATTGATTTGAATTCTTCATTTGAAATTGGCCTTAGCGGGAATATGTACGCCATACATATCAGTAAATGCCTCTCATCAGTGTCCTTTTTTCTGGAGGGTTTGTTTTGAAACATTTACTTCCAAAAATTCCAGTTTCATGTTATTTCCACCCTTAAATGACCCCATAAATATTCAAATGTTTCATTGCTTAATCCTGGGTCCTTGTTTTCACTGTCGTGTTAAATGTTGCATTAAGTTCTATGGCCTGAAACTCTCATAATGAAGATCATCTTGGGCCTGTGACAACATGGTTCAGATAGTAAGTACATCCACTGAATTCATTTAAATGACAAGTAGGCTCCTTTCAAGTAATTGTACCTGGCTTCCATTAAGCACTAATACAAACGAATGGTTTACTTGGGATAACAAAAAACTCACCATGCAATCTTAGATGCCCCAAATGAGCTAACCCTATCTGATCTTTCAAAATATGAAGGTGGACACGCAAGGCAGCACAGTACAAATGAGTGAAAGTAGTGCAGATACTCCAGTCATCACACTGAAAAGCACGCTCTTAATAACTTTGTTGATAAGACAGCTCGTTCTATCGATATTAATCTGCTTTCTTTAGATAGTTAATTCAGTGCTTATTCAGTAATCTCAAGGGCAGTAGTCTTGATGTCAGGAAAAAGATTTTGTATGGGTTCAACAAGTGAACTTCCTTTCACTAATACTGATCCAACTCTTTAATATCCAACTCCCAACAGCAGAGACCAGTGTTGATCCTCTAATTTGGAATATTTCCTGGGCAAAGCAGCCAGTTTCATTGTACTAGGCCAATGGTGGTGAACCTTTTAGAGCTTCCAATGATACACATAGCCTGCTGTAGCGTGTGTGCCATAGGCTTATCACCACTGTACTAGACTTTCCTATCATGGAGGGGAGAGCAATTTGTCCTCACTGGATGAAATAAACGCTTATTCTATGACTTATCTTTCCTGTTTGTAGTACTTCTGCTAATAACATTACCCAGTGGTGGAGTTAGTGCTTGCTTTATTTCACCATGGTATCTCATATAACATTGCTCTGACCAGGAGTCAATTTCATGATGCTAGAAGTGACCAAATGGGCTAATGTTCACATGGTTTGCCAGTCTTTTCATGTATCTCATTATCCGAAAGAATCTGTTCATAGGAATTGGAGTGGACTATTGAAGACCTAGCCACCGTGCCAGTTGGAAAGGGCTTCCTAGAGGGGTGGGAAATCCTGTTTTATGAATATAGATAGCATATGTTTTTTTTTTCTTTTTCCTTTTTATCAGTACCAGGGATCGAACTCATGACTACCTGCTTGCAAGGTAGGCGCTTATGCCGCTGAGCTAAATCCCCAGCCCCAATAGCATTATGTTTTGAACCAGCAATGAATACATGATCCTGTAGCCAGAATACATGGCTCTAAGAACCTAAGATTGGAAGTTGTTTTATTTCTATTATACCTAGGAATTTAAGCATTTACTACCTGTATCAGCAAATCAGTAGTTTAAACAGTCCTTTACCTGAAGAAGAAATACTTCTATTAGAAGACACAACAATGGTTGCATTTAACTGAGAGTTGAGTATGTTGGTTGGCTGTTTTGGGTACATCATGCATCTGAATCACCAGGGATGATTGCTTTGATTCAGAGATGAATATGACATTGTCTTGGATGACCATTTCTGCTTACCAAGGGGGAAGGTGGTTAGTCCATTAGTGGCAGTGAGACTCCATGTCAAGTCTCCTAGTCATCAGCTCTGTGGGTATTAGAAACAGTTGTGGCAGTCAAGGATGCTTCACTAGCATTCAGTATCCAGGTCCTGTTTCTTGAGTATCAGAAGGCAGGGCTGGTGGTGACAGCAGTGGCTACTATGTCTGTAGCAGCAGCAGCAGCAGCAGCAGCAGCAGCAGCATACTGATTTCTGGTGAAAGGACCAGCACGCCTGTCCACTTACTAGTTGTGTGCCCACCTCCAAATTCCTCTTCCTCATGAACATTCATGTATCCTTTCCCTAGATTCATCACCGTTAGTATTACACTGCTTTGATTTGCTTTGCTTTGCTTTCTATCTGTCTTTCTTTGCTGAGTCATTTGGTAGCTACCTGTGGGCACTGTACCTCTGTATATTTCATAAGTACGTCCTAAGAGGGACATTCCTCTATACACCGTAATGCAGTTATCACACTCAAGAAATTGAACTCTTTAATACATTACTATTATCCAGTATCCAAATTTCTCCTAGTTATCCTGAAAATGTCTTTTGAAGCTTTGTATTTGTTGTTTTTCCCCACAATCTATGATCCATCAATTTAGTCATCATGGTTATTTATTCACCTTTATCCAAGATGGCATCCATCACAGCCCCCCACCCTTTTTTATCTTCTAATTTTCATTACTCAAGAATTTTTTTTTATTGATACCAGGGATCGAACTCACGACCGTGCGCTTACAAGGCAGGCACTTATGCTGCTAAGCTAAATCCCCAGCCCCTTATTACTTGAGAATTTTGAAGCATCCAGGTCAGTTTTTCTTTCTTTCTTTCTTTCTTTCTTTTTTTTTTTTTTTTTTTTTAAGAATGTCCCTTAGTTTAGATTTGGATTAGATGCACATTTGACACTTTCCCCCCCCCCTTTTTATCGGTACTGGGGATCGGACTCACGACTGCCTGCTTGCAAGGCAGGTGCTTATGCCGCTGAGCTAAATCCCCAGCCCCACATTTGACACTTTTTGCAAAAATACTTTGTACACACATAATGGTCCTCTGAGCGTCATACTAGGTGGAACTTTTGTTCCATGGTAAATTTAATCACTCAGTTGTTTAATCACTCCTTTATAGACCTTTCCACACATTAAGGGTAACTTTTGTAATTAGTAAGTAACCCATAGCGTGATGGTACTTCTAAGTTATATGCATATCCCTAGTATTTCTTCCTGTCCTTTTAGTTTCCATGAAAGACTCTTTTCAGACTTTCTTATTATTATGGTGTTGGTGACTTGATAGCTCTATTATTCCTTCTAGGTTTATTAATAGCCCTTCTTCTGTATAGCAGAATTTTCTCTTACCCCTTGCAACGTTTTTCTTCCCTTTTTTAGTGACAGTGGAGATTCGTAGGATGCTTTTAAAATGCAATATGCTATAACCCATTTACACCCACTTTAGTGTTCACACTGTTCCTAATTTGGCTCATGTACTCCATTAAACTGGCTCATGTAGCCAGTACTTTCCCCCTCAATTTCATACTTTCTACAGTTAGAACCCTGGCTTCCCCCAAAACTTCATTATGTTGATGTTTATATGATCTTACAATGTAAACAAAAGTTTCAGAAATGGTGCTAATACTACTACCAACAGCAAACCTACTATGAAGCTCACAATTTCTTTGCAATTCATGGTGATGAAGTGTTCATATTTGTCAGTTCTGATAATTACTTGTCAGTTATGATATTCATTGCTGTATTTTAAAACTATTGAAGTACAACATGCATACAATAAGTGCTTATTATAAGTGAATGATTAAATGAAGTTTTACTAACTGCCATATATTTGTGCTGTACCTGTACCATTTATGTCAGTAGGTCTTTATGATTGGTTCTCCTCTCTTTAGAGCCTCTTGTTGCTTTTTTGAAGTCTGACTGAGCAAAAGCAACCTCATGCACTGTTGAGTTGTGACTAGAGACTGTTCAGATCCAAATGCATTATACAAAAATTCCTCATCACATCACATTTCCCGTAACACATTACATCAAGTGTGTAAACATCTTCCTGTAAATTCTGGACAGAAGGTGGTCCTAAAATTACAAGAAAGAAAGTGTGGGAAGTGTGATTGTCTGATTCCCATATTTGCCAACCTAATGTGTGTAAAATGTTCTTCATATCTTTTCTTCATTCCTTTCTTCCCTTATTCCTTCTGGGGAACTGTCGTAGGCTTACTCAAGTTCTAAACACAAAATCATTTTTCTCCCAAGGTCCTAAGCACCTCAGCTTCGCCGTCTCCCACTTTAGGGATGATCACAAGTCTTCACGTCAAAGTGGGCTGATCTCTAAGGCAAGTGCAGAGCACTGATGTTTCCACCTGTGGTACAGGCTGGGAAGGAAATAGGCCTCTCCATACGGCAAGTGACCTACACCCCAAGACTCATGATCTCAGCAGTTCCTTTAGCTTGAGGAAACAAACATCCAATATTGGAAAAATTTCATAGGATCTAGCAAGGAAGTTGCTTAAAGGATGTTCGCTCTACATATCTTTTGGCTTAACGTTCATGTAACTCCTAAAATAACAATCCTTCGGCTTCAGCCTACTGAGTGCTGGGATTACAGACTTGTGCCACCACACCCAGCTAGACATATTTTAAGCAAAATTCACTTCTTTTTTTTTTGAGAGGTGGTGGTTAAACTTTTATCAGTTGTATTAACTTAACCCACACCTGGAAAATTACCCAATGCAGACAATTTAAAGGAGAAGAGATTCATTTGGCTTACAATGTCAGGGAACTCAGTTCATAATCATTTGGCCTCATGGCAAGATCATTTGCTAGAAGGGTACATGGAGCCAAGACATTTCATCAGTGGCCAAGAAGCAAAACGGGAACAGAACCAGACAGGAAGAGGCCAGGAACTAGAGGCAGTATTGTGTGCTACTCAGCCAGACACACAGGAAATGTGCTTCACTAATCTACTAGGTGTATCTCAAGACCGTGAAATTGACAATCCTAACTAGGACACTGATAACCAGAGCCCAGAGGTGACAAACTGCTACTCCCAGGCCAGATGGGACCACTTGCATAGTTTATTGACCCTCATAGTGTTATTGAAAACAGACCAGGACATGCCAGCATTTGAAAATTGCAAAGTTTCACATAAAAAGTGGGAATACCTAATATTCTTGAAGCATTAAATCTGGCCCTATGCTCTGGTCCCACATCAGCACTCAGCTGGAGCTGCCCCACTGAGGACCCTCTGGGCACCTTTTAGGAACACCCTGGTTTACTACCACTCCATTGCTCCCTGCCATCACCCTGTCCTGCAGCTGAGTGTCAAATGCCATTTATCCCCATGTCTGTGCTGGGTTTTCTGTCTCCTGTTTATCCTATAACAGACCCTATAACAGATGTGGAAACCCAAGGCTAGTAGATAACTAAAGGTTTACTTTCTATTGGTTTAAATCCCATTGACCTACAATGATTTATATATTTCACATAATTACTAATGTCATTTAATTTTATACATTATTGATAAAATACCATTCAAATTCAGATAGTAAATATACATTTATTTTTTCATTTAAATCATTCTTGCTTTTTTCTCCTCCCTTTTTTTCTGTTGTCTTTTCCTGTAACTTTAAAGCTGTCTCTAAAGTGCAATATCAGTAATGAGGTCGTAACACTTTTCTATTACAATTCATACTTTAGTCTTGGTTTGGCCTAATTTAAATACTGACATTATAGATTCATGCTAATTAGCTTGAATGGCCAAATCCCCCACCAATTAAGCAAATGTGTAAATTTTGGGTTATTTCAATTACCCTAAGGTTACGGAGGAAAAAATGTGATGAACATGATATATAATGACAATGACCAACGTAGGCCATTATGTTATTTCATAGTAAAACTTATTTTTGTCATTATGGTATCATGAATGCATCCTGAGTTAGACATTTGTACCACAATTGCCATTCCACTAATGAAAAACTGGGTCTCTGTGAGGGGAACTTTTCATTGCACCAATGGTGAGCCAACTAAAGTTTTTAAATACTGTATTGCTTTGGTTCCTTTTATAACACGCATAATGCCATCTTGTGTTAACATGCTGTGTAAAGTATCCTAACTTTTCAATTTTTGTTTCTTTTTTTCTTTTAGACAGGGTCCCTATGCAGTTCAGTCTGGCCTTAAACTCACTTTGTAGCCCAGGCTAGTCTCAAACTCACAATAATCCTTCTGCCTCAGCCTCCTGAATGCCGAGATTACAGGTGTTCGCCACAATGCCCAGCTAACTTTTCAATTTCAAACTTGCAAATAAACTGAGTGCCAGAAGTTCCTTTATTAATTATCTCTTCTAAAAAAAAGTTTGTCAAAGTCTGGGAATGTAACTGTGTTAGAATCCAAGCTTACCATCCACCAGGTTCAACCCTCAGCACTACAAAAAATTAATTAATTCGAGCACATGAGAATGCAATAAGTGATTGTTAGATTCCTGGGCTAGCCCTTAATGTGGTTTAACAGTTCTTCTGATCTTAATCTAAATTCTAATTTCTAGAGCACATAGAAAAGAAACAGAAGGAGGAGGAAAATGAGAAGACAAATAGCAGAACCAGAATCGTGAGTAAAGGTAGGAGATTCAAATAAAGAGAAGGAAATGAAAGAGAGCTAGAAGAAAATGTTTCCCAGGTCTAGGCAGCAGTCTAAGCAAAATTTTGAGATACAGTATGCAGTTGTTTTTATATTCTCTGATTACCACTTCCACACCTTTCTCTTCAGAACCCTTGTGCCTTTATTTGGTACTAATCCCTCCCACTCCACATCTGTTCTAATTCTTCCTACCTTCCACAAACAAAATCTCAAAACTCTTGTTTCTCAGTGCATCTTCTTTTAGCAAGGTGTTTGGAAGATATTAGTTTAAGAGAACCTATTCATTTTGTGGAATTCCTAACACCTTTGAAATCTATCATTCTCCAATTGGGGGAATTCCAGACAGTGCCACAAAATGAAGCAGAAGAAATTACAGTAGTGTGGTATTTCCCCCCTACCCACAGTTTTCCTCCCAAGGTTTTAGTTTCCAGTGGTCAACCACAGTCTGAAAATATTAAATAAAAAATTCCAGAAAAAGGCAATTTATAACAATTTCATGCTGTCCCACCATAAAATACATCCAATAAGTATCATTGCAGATGATTCCAAGAACAGTGAGTATAGTACAAATCGGTACTTTGAGAGAGAGAAAACATATTTGCATAATTTTATTACAACTTAATATAATTGTTCTATCAGTGATTATCATTAGTCTATAACCTAACTTACAAGTTAAACTTTATCATAGGTACATGTGGGCAAAAAACATCTATGTAGGATTTGGTACGATCTGCCATTTCAGGCATCCACTAGGGAGTCTTACAATGTGTCACCCACAGATAAGAGGAGACAGCTTCATTTTGAAAGAAGATACCTTACAAACTCCAGCCTTCCGTACTTCTGATCTGACATCTCTTCATAGGCTCCAGTTACAACGATCTAGCCTCTAGCTGGTCCTCAAGATATGGTCACAAACTGAATCATTTGTTTTGAGTTTCTTGTTACTTTCCTTTTCAAAACAGCTCCCGAGATTGAATGTGGACTAAAGCAGAGAGAGCTGGATATTTATAGGTGTGGCTCAGTTGTACATGGGAACTGGAGACAGAGGCTGAGCTGTGCATAGGGATACCTGTATGATGGCCTTGTTCCCAGATTCCTTGTTTAAGTCACTTGTCTGCTGCCAAGTTTCCTAGCTGCGGACATAGTTATAATACTAGTAAATGACAGTGACAACATAGCTTTTGTTGTTTGACATGGGGAAGGCTTTAAAGTAAGAGAAGTCGGGAAAGTCACTGGCAATACTGGCAATGTTTTCAATACTGTATGACTTTAAGGATGAGTCCCTGTTGAAAAGAGCCACATCTAAGAACGAAATATACATACATGTTTGCTGGTCTTTGTGTAACGATGTGGGCAACCCTTGGGAATCACCGTCACCAGTGCTATGGATGAGTAAGCTTTGCTCTGGGAAGGGATACTTGGCCTCTGTGCTGATGCGAAGCCTCTTCAGCCCACAAATAGCCAGGTACTTGGTGGGAAGGGTGTTGGAACTGCACAGAGAAAGCTTCAAATCCTGGACCAGTGTGAAATTCAACAGGCGGCCCAGCACTGATGAGTCCGTGAACCAGATGGTCAGATGGCCACTGTAGCTGGTTTGCTCTACTGCCAAAGCCAGGACGGTTTTACAGCTGCACATCAGGTTAGCCAAACTGTAGTCACAGTCCCGGATGTCTGCAGAGCAGCTGCAGTTCCGAATGGTGTTTTGTTTTGTGAAAATTAGCGTGCTGTTCTTCTGACCTTCAGTGAAACAGTCAAATGTGAAGATGCTTAGGGCGCCGATCAGGAGAAGGCTGTGTCTGGAAGGCAGTGCCATTCCTGCCCAGTGTGGGCTAGTGCGTTCCTGCTACCCCTTCAGAAGCCAGTTCATTGCAACTCATCTGGAAGAAAACATGCAGCTTGATTACCACAGCTGCTCCTCAGAAATACACAGCTTCTGGAAAAGGAGGCCCCTAAGTAAGAAGTTGTAAACTTTTCTCTGTTGCAGGCAGGCAAAAATGTTCTGATCTCAGAGGCTCAGGAGAAGCAGCAGCCAAACCTCTGAGCCCGGCTTAGCTGAGGCATGCAATTCCCAGCGATGTCTGCTGACAGTTGTATTAAGATGCCAAGAGAGCCGGAGTGGATCCCAGGAAGAAGCCCTATCGCATTCTGTCCACGGGCAGGGGTTTGGAGTGATTTGAGCAAGCACATTCGCCAGCTGTCTAATTATGAGTATGCTGTACCCAGAAGCCTTCAACACGCACATGCCCTCCCCCTCAGGTCCCGACTTCCTGGAATTCAGGAGACAAGCAGTTCCTTGTAAGATTCCACTTCCCACACACTGCCTGTTAAGCAACATAGCATGGGTGCCAATGAAACATTTAGTTAATGGTAAACTTTCATGTCAACTAGAAAAACATGTCTCCACTCCTCCCTAAGCATATGAATCTGTTTATGGGGCCATGTACCCTTTTCCTGCCCCCTTACAAATATATTTGCGTAACAGTCAGTTACAACTTTGTTTGCAGACGTTGAAAAGACTAACCATTCACTAATAGTTTTCTTTTTTAATTTTTGTTAGTATGTAGTGATTGCATTCCTCATGGGGAGTTGGTACATGTACATAAGGCATTGTAATTCTTTTTTTTATCCCATTCCCCATATGCTGCTTCCCTTCTTTCATCTCTTGCAAAAGATCTAGCTCCTTGTTTCCTATTACCTCTCTTTTATTTTGCTGTTTATTTATATTTTGAGTTTCTCATATAAAACTAACTAGGTGATAATTAAACTTGTCTGATTTATTTCACTGAACATTATGGTCTCATAATGTTATGACTCAACTCAAATTTATCCTTCTTTATCGAGATTACTGTTCCATTGTATATAAATTCCTCATTTTCTTTTTCTATGCCTCTGTTGATGGACACATAGGGTGCTTCTGAGACTTGGCTACTATAAGTTATGCTACTGAGACATGGGTCTACATGTAATAGAATGTCTTTAAGTCTTTTGGGAAGATACCTAGAAAGAGAATAGTTAGGTCCAATGTAATTCCTATTTTGTTTTTTGAGGGATCTCCATTCTGATTTCCAGTGATTGTACTAGTTCACATTACCACCAACAATGTGGAAGTGTACCTTTTCCCTACAGCCTCACTAGCATTTGTTAGTACAGTATTTATTGATAAGCTTCATTCTTTCTAGAGTAATATGGAATCTCAGTGTTTTGATTTGCATTTCTCTAGTGTCCAGAACTGTTGAACATTATTTTCATGTATTTATTGGCCATTTCTACTTCTCCTGGGAAGCATCTACTCATTTTAATTGCCCATCTTTTGAGTGTCACCCACCAATATTAAGTGCAGTTATTTTGATTTACTTGTTCCTATCCCAGAATAAGTTTTATGAATTAGCTTTGTCAAATAATTTTGTGGGGCCCAAAACTATATAATAATATAAGCATTATTAAATGAACTAAGGTAGGAAAGCATTCATATTTTAAGAATAACATCAATTTGCTGTTTGAAGAAAACATCTTACAGAGCCTGGCATATAATAGATGAGTGGTATTAAATTTATGCCGTTGGAATAAAACAAGCATTATGACAGAAGACACCAAATTTCAGCTTCAAAGACTGATCATTTCCCTTAGTTACCTGGTGTTTGAAAACAAAGATCAAATAGTTAATCTGTCTTTATTGAGCGCCACAGTAAGACTATGACTAGGAAGACCCGCAGTTATTGACAGGGTCACCGCAGGAAGGGATGGGGAACAATAAATGAAAGGGTCATTCTGGGGAGTTAAGTATGTGTCCAAATAGTATGGTGACCACAGGAAAGAGACCAAGCAGACATGCAATACTTGGAGTACAAGATGAAGCCACAAAGTGAAAAAATATGGTGGTGGGAAATCTAAGAAAGGCAAAGCTAAAAATGCCAAGGCTCAGATAGACAGGCAAAATCTATTAGCAGACACCTGGAGTGCAAGAGTTTGCTGGGTAAACTTGAATAGAAGATGAAATACTGATTTCCAGCAATTGCAACTGCATTAATCCATCCATTTGCCCGTCTTTCTGACCATCTGTCTACTTATCTATCACTCCATCCAGTCATCTACTTATTTGTTCAGCTAATGCTTACAGAGAGTTTATTAGGTGGCTGGCACTCTCTCAGCCCTGGGGACACAGCCTAGAACCAGACATCAGGACACAGCCCTCATGGGACTTATTCTAATGGACCTAATTCTGCTTTACTAGGCCATGAATCAGAGACCTGAATCAAGCTGGGCTTGTGCCTGAGAAGCCACGAGCTGTAGCCCGGGGATGAGAGAGGAAGTCAAGTTGGGGCCCAGGCAGGGCCTGGCAGGAGCTGTGTCCCAGGCCTTGGAATACATCAAGCAGAAGAAACAGAGATGAGCAAGAGCTAAATCCTGCCCTCTAGGGGTTTATACTCAAAGGACATAGAAAAGGGTGAACCAAAAAAGGATACACTGAACATGGGAGGTGATTATGGAGAACATAGCAGAGGGACCCATTAAATCCTTTGGGGGACTGGATAAGGTGTTTCATAATGTTTCATGTTTTTTTTTAAATTGACAAGGGCTTTTCTTAAGGGATTTATTGACAGGTACATTATTAAGTAAAGAAGTTTGAGAGACTAAGAGCAGAGTTCTCCTTGAACAAAGGATTAATGGTTCTGACTAGCATTAGAACATGTTGGTGACTACCCCACTTAGGAACAGGGAAGAATTCAGTAATTTCGAGATAATTTTAGATGCTCAGCTGTCCCAGATTCCATCAGAGCTTTCTGGGAGTTCATGGCCCAGTTACTCTGCCTTCACAGAATTAGGAATGCTGTTAATCCCATTGGCCCTCTCTGAGCACAGCCTTAAAGGGAAAGAGATGGAAGAACATCCATGGCTCAGCCCACAGCCTAGGGAGGTCATCTGCCTCCTCCTCTCAGGTACTATGTTGCTCTAAGGAATACAGAGATGACAGGACAGAAAAAATAAATTGATTTGCAAGTGGGACTGAAAATCTCCATAGGGATTTGCAAATAACTCCCAACACTTAAGGGACATCAGATGGTCCCTTCTAGTTGTATACCAAGGAGCCCAAAGGCCAGAACAAGGAGCCCAGGTGCTAGAAGCTTTACCGAGGGTACATAGTTGGGATAAAAATTCCCAGTAACCAGTTTATTGGGGGTCCCACAAAAAGATATTCCCGCAGTATCTGTCCCAACTAGACAGGGTGCTCCTCCAATGTGCCATGGATTGCTTTCTTTAGGTTTACTGAACATAGGCCGTGCACACTGTACATGTATTCACTTGTGGGCAGATTTCACTCCACTTATGAAGAGTAGGCACAGATACATCACACTGCCCATACCTCTGCCCATACCTCTGCCCATGGTGGGCCGAGGAGGCACTTTTTATGGTGTGGAGGGCAGGTCTCAGTGACAGAGCACAGGGATAGCTGGGATGCAGAGACGATGTGTCAGTCAAAGTGGGTCGGAGGGCTCCAACCCAACTCTCTCTTCCACTACCAATGCAGCTACCCCCAAAGTACATTACTACCTGTCTTCCTTTTGGATTTTTTCAAATTCTTGTCACCCCATGCTAATTGTATGTTTCGTTTTTTCTATCCACACAAGAAATATTTTCATACTTATGTCTTATATCCTTTATCAAGTTTATCATGACATCATCCAAGCCAGGGGATAGCTAGGTGCAGACTTACATCCCATGCAGTTGTTATTATGTGGATTATCATACTAAGCAATGATTAGTAGCTTAACATGTTGACAACAGGCCCATAATTCATGTCTTGCTGCCATATGACTGGTTTGATTTGTTTATCTCACTGCCAAGTGGCTCTGATTTAAATTTAATCATCCTATGTTATACGGCTAACCTCTGTATGCTGTTTTGTTCATATAAGGCACCAGAACAAAAACAGCCATTGTTATTCCATGGCTAGATTATTATTAAGCTCAGTGGTAAATTTTTCTTTTATTACTTCTTTTTGTTCCTTTATGATTCTTCTCATTTTCATTTGTAATATTTAATTTTTGTATACATATATTATTACATATTTGTTTTCAATTTTAAGAGTTTTGTTTTTAAACAGGATCTCACTAAGTAGTTTGGGCTGGCCTTGAACGCTCTTTGTAGCCCAGGCTTGCCTCAAACTCACAGCTGTCCTCTCTCAGCTCCCCAAGTGCTGGCATTATAAGTGTGCACTAATGTGCCTGGCAAGAGGATTTAATTTTGTAAAAACTTTTTCCCAGTACAGTGTCAAACACAGAAAAGTGATGATTCATCATGATTTGTAATTATATATTACCAGAGGGAAAAGTAACAACCAACCCATTACTCTTCAGATGATGATATATTAGAGTTGGATGAATGTAATCTTGTGGACAATACATTTCAGTGAACATAGTATAGATCTGGACATGAAGGTAGAAGATCAAAAGGAAAATGGTAACTAGTAATAGAAATATGATCAGACGTGGGCATGGGAACTGTGAACTGTGGAACTGGTAATGAGAAATTAATAACAGTGATCCTTTTGTGTTATGTAAATATTTGTACCTCATAATATACCTAAAATTATAGTTAAACAAACACACAAATAGATGTGCCATATAATGCAGCTTTGGTACAATAAGAAAACATCACCAATGGTGGGAATCAGTTACAATTAGCAAGATGAAATTTTTATAGGTATAGTATTAATTATGAGAAAAGGACCATTGCCAGATACAAGAGTGTATTGATCCGAAAATAATACATATGCCAAGGGAAATATAAAGAATGTCATGCATTGTGATTGACTTTTGGTTTATATTTCTCTGTTTATATTTCTCTGACAATACCACATGCAGAGCTGAGGATTCTTTGAGTAAATTTTAAAAGTCGTAGAATAAATTATTAGTACATTCAAGAATTTAGTAAAACTTGGAAAAGTATAGTGATAGATGAAAGTATGATTTTATGACAAGGACATTTGTGTTTTCACCAGTACTTTAAAGGAAAATGGCACAAATAGAAAATTGCATAAATTATATTTGCCTAATGGTACATCTATGATTTGCATGTCTGTGCTAGAAAAAGGGAAAACCTTTTGATGCAAGGACATTCTTAAAATGTTGTTTTGAAATTAATGAGCAGCTTATTATTTGAACATTGCAGGTTATATGCAGTTATTCAAATGTAACTCAGCAAAGAACTTTTTCAAAGAGAAACTTATTTTTGCAGCAGTAGAGCCAAATCAAATATTTTCACCAATAGAAGCAAAGACAAAGCGAAAATGCTGCAAAAATACAAACTTTGAATATCCTCCTAGTATAAAATTTGTTAAACAGACTGATAAAAGAACTGCTTGTATGTTAACGACTTTTAAAACCATCCATGTGCATTGATTGAAGGAAAACCTGTAAATGTAAAACCTGGTCTTGTCTTTGATTACAATAATGCAAAGAAAGGTACAGTTCCTTAAGGAAACATTTAGGTGGCAGAAAAAAATCAACAATTAATTTGTGGTGCAACAGTTGTAAATGTATATTTATGTATCCTAGCAATGGATTACTTATAAGCTTTCCATGTTAAAATTTAGGGAATTAATTATTGATTATTTACCAGTGAAAAAATGCTGTGAGTACGAATTACTCAAAAAACATTCACTTTGTAGAAGCTTATCTAGCCTTGTATTGGCAAGAAGCAGATGCAAGAAATATAGAGAATGATACTAAAAAACTACCTGAAAAAATGGTGCCAGCATGGCCACAAATGTGTAATGATGTTTTGTGCACTCTGCATAAATTAGCCACCTTTGTGTAGAAAATGCTTTTTTAAAAATTCACAAATATATAAGAACTGCTTTTAATTTACTGAGATGAATACATTTGTTGATTGCTGTAATAATTTTAATTGGTATAACTATTAGTAATATTTATATTTGGGTAGTACTAACTAGATTTAGTCAATTAACTAGATTTAGTCCATTTTTGACTTTTTATTAATTTTATGAGTAAAAAGAGTGATAAAAGTAATTAGATCCATTTGTACCACCAGTGGTACAATCAGCTCAAAGGGACAGTCATACATGCACCACTGGTGGTTCAAGCTGGCAGGAACATGTTAAGTGTATCACACAAAGGTAGGTTAAGCTCCCTAGGGTGTTCTTTTGGCTTTAGTTTGTTTCTAGCTCAGTGTCAAGCACCTAGCAAAGACTCAACAGATTTTATCAATTGAGTGGGAAAATATACTTTACCAAATATCAGTGCACCAAAATTCTTTAAACCACTGGTTTTAGAAATACTACTTAAACTATCTTAAATAAAAAGCAAAACAAATAAACAAAAAAGAAACAAAAATTTTGACTCACATATGTGAATAATCAACAGAGTTCCGGTGGCTTCATCCAGCTACTTAAAAAGAGGCTGGCAGAGATGCTTCCTTGTTTCTTAGTTCTTCTCTCTCTTGGGTAGGCTTCATTCTCAGACAGGCTCACACCCCCTGGGAGGCAATATGGTCATCAGTAGAGTCAGATTTATCATCTGTCAGCTGAATAACACTCACAGGGGGAAAATCTCCTTCTCAATAATAATAGGCAAAATGAATTGAGCCACATGCTTAGTCCTGGTATCCATGACTGCGCTGGAATGATGGACTGAGACAGCAAAGACTGGGTTTGCAAATAGATATCAGGGAGCATTACTCGAAAAGGACATGGTAGGTGGGACAGTAAGTGCCCACCAAATTCCCTGCACCACTTCGTTAACATAACTTCAATTGTGCACAGACTTGTCTTTTTTTTTTAATAAAGGATTTTCTTTAAAGAGAAAAAAAAGCAAACCATAAAAAGGGTAGAAGTAATACAAATTTCAAAAAACCAGATAGTAAGAAATCACTAGTTGATAGATTACATATTGTCATCTTAGAAGTCGCTGTTCAAGTTACAAAATTAAAGCCTACAAAGTGGACATTTAAACAGAGACTGCAAACTGTTCTGTTCAGTGATCCAACAAAAACTTAGTAATATGGTTACCTGTTTTACACACTTAAACATACATGCTGTTGTATCCTTTAGAGCACTTTCTTTTCCTCTTTTTTATAATAACAATTACACATTTTAGATTTTATTACTCCTACAGTTCTTATTAGTTTGTTTGAAGAGAGTAAAACCAAATGTAGCAACGCAAAATGGAGTCAGTTGAAACAAAAATAAACATAGTATACGATGTAAAAACAAAATACAAGGTGATCAACAATGGCTACTATAATGCCTCTTGCTGTCTTCAAAAGAATTGCCCATATCTTAAAGAGGGTAACATTAAACATACCAAAACAGAACAAAACAGATCATAAGGAAACAATTTTAAGGAACACTGATTTCAAAGCAAGTCCACTGAAGATCTTCACCGTCTTATTGTCTCTAGTTTTATTCCAAATAGTTGTCCCCATCTTCACACACAATGAATACATACTGAACATTATAGAACTAATCTGATCATAACAGGATGATGAAGGCTTTTTAGGTCTTCAAGACCTGACATTGGGGAATTCAATAATGACTGCCATAATGTCCCTCATTCTCTTCATAGTAGCTGTCCTTATCTTTATGTACGCTGAAATTGAACATAAGAGACTAGACTAATATCACTCTGAACAGTGAATAATAGTTTTGCTAGATTTTATATCATAATGTAACAGAATTAGCATTGGATTTCTTAGTGTCTCTTCTTCAGAGTATCTGTTTGTTACATCGTGCATTATATAATCCCACAGACTTGTCTTATTGCTAAGGTTGAATGTGGTTTGTTCCTCAGGGGTTCATGCATTGGCAGCTTGGTCCGCCATGTGGTGACATTTAGAAGTGGTAGGACCTTTTAAGTGAGGGACCTAGTGGGAAGTGAGTAAGTCACTGAAGACACTGTTCTCAGAAGGAATTGATGCTGTTCTTGTGGGACCGTGATTAGTTCTCATGAGAGGTTTATTAGGAAAGAATGAGCCTGAGTTTTTCTGGAACTCTGGCTTTCTGTTTCACCATGTGATCTCTCTCTCCCATAATCTCCCACCATGAGGACACCTGCCACAAAGCCCTCACGAAAGCCAATGCCAACATCATGCTCTTTTGATTTTTCAGCCTCCTAAACTTTAAAAAAATCATCTTTTCCTTACTTTAAAGTAACCAATCTCATGTATTTCATGATAGTAACAGAAAATATACTAATACACTTGCTCCATGGGATACACTTAGAATTCCAAATTGTCTCCTGTTACTGGAAGAACCTTCATGTTTATTTCCTCAGCATCTTTAAAGAATTTTGCAGGACACACTTTGGTGACTGCATCTGTGCTTGCTCTTCAGGTCCTGACTTTAAAGTGCATTTCTTGGGGTGCTCAGGCTCTAGATTTTTCCTATCCTCACCCCCAGAACCACAGCTCAGATTTTGATTTGAGATAATCTATTGTGGAGGACCACTTGGACAACTTTCCTTGAATAAAGAGCAGTTATCTCCACTTTGGGTAAACCTGGCCCTATCTGCATGTACTGATACGTACAGAGCTGGCTAAGCCGTATCTTTTCCCCTGCAGTTAGATTTAAGCAATGCAAGTAGGGCTGACTGAGGCACTGAGGAGTAATCCTTGAAGCCAGTTGACAGTTGCTGTTTCCCTACCCTGTGGCTCCCAAAATCATGGTTGAACCAGGTGGGACAAAGAGCCACCGCTCCATGTTGCCAACTGGGATCAAACCTTGAGATAATAGGCTAGAAAAGTTTACATATCAGGACTGAAGTGCGAGCCCCAAAATATTAGATGCTACCTCAGTTGTGTTATGCAGATTGGTCTTTCTGCATGTCCTTTTTTCTGCATATTGCAGAGGTGCTTTCAGATTCATAGTACTCATATTTCCCACCATTCTCACACTCACTCATCTTCAAGCCACTCCCTTCTTCATGAATTAATAAAACCTGGGTTGGGCCTTGGGTCACGGCCTTTGTTTGAAGAATCACTATCTTGGCTGGGTGTAGGACCCCCATGGCAACCCATAACTATAAATATGTCTTAGTGTCTTTATTTTTGCCACTGGAAGTGGTAGATTAGAATTATAAATGTCCCAGACTGGGACGAGGTCCAGGAAGGGCTCTCTTAATTTCTTCCCCTCATCTTTTCCCAGTTTCTTCACTTGAATCTCTTCCCTGTTCGTTATTCCCCGTTAGAATAAAAATCACTTCTGATTTTAAGTTAACTCCCTCCTGAATTAAGGATTTGGAGACTGTCTCTAGATTTTTCTACAATTATATTCTTTGTCTTCTGTGTTTAGACTATAGAATTCAAAACATCATTATTAATGACATTTCAAGTCTGTTTTGGTTATTGGTCCAAATGTTGTCTTCTAACAGCCACAGAATCTCTCTACTGGTAATATAAACAGAACTTATAAACAGAACTCATCCACTGTGAGATGTTCTTTTGGAGCCAAGTATAAATATGTTGGGAGTGATTGTAGATTGTAAAAGAATCTGTGTGGAATTTGTTTTGCAGTAACTGATGTCCATATCTGCTAATTCAGAAGTCTTGCCTTTGTGCAGCTAGCTGTTTGTATTCATTACTATTGAGGTTTCTTCAGCTGAAACAGAAAAATGCCATTTAAATAATAGAAGCTCTAGTTTTTCAACAGGCTCAGTGAGTTAAAGACTTAAAGATACGATAATTAAGAAGTTTTCAGCATCTTGCTTTAATATTTTAGACTGCATTGATGCTGCGTTTTTGTCATGATTTCAGAAGGTTAATTATGATTGTGCCTTACTACTTGGGTACTTTTGAGAAATCTCATGCCCACTGGATTCATGTTCTCTTCTCTCTCAGCACAGTGCTGGACTTCTTTTCTATGGGACTGAGTTCTGACCAATGGAATATGGGGACAAATTGTATGAAGGGCTCAAAGACACCGATGATGGCAGAAGTATAGACAAAAGCTCAAGTCTACAGTTGCATAACTGTGTAGAGCCAAGCACATCCTCTCTCCCTCATGGCAGGAGACTACAGTGCACAGGAAAAGTAGGTCTTCCCATTCAGAGTGACGATATTTTAATGTATGTCAACAGGTCGCCTACCCTGATGGACACAACAGGTGCTAATATTTTGTCACTTGCCCTTTTCAATCCTCTTCTCTTCTCAGAATGTGAAAAATCAACATTCATGGTATATTTACTTAATGCCAGGCAATACCCAAAGTCATAGGAAATCAAGAAGAAAGAAGACATGGTGCCTCCTGCAGGAACTTGAAATTTGCCCAAGGAACTTGGGGTACTTTCTGTGAATAAGCAAATGGGCAAACAATTATAAGGCAGTATCTTTGTGGTGCTTGTTAAAGATATGAATGAAGTGATGGGCAGGGAGGATTGTGAAAGATTCCCAAAGCAGGTGAGACTAGGACTAGACAGAGAGGTTCCCCCACCCAATCCACAGGGGACAGGTGCACTCACTCTCCCCATCTAAGCCAGAGGAAGCTGGCTACTCTGTCTTTTGCAGCTGAGAAGGTCAACAGCTTCAGGTGTAGGAACTTGAAAAATTCTTGTGAGAAAGGATTGTTAGGATTTTTTCCCCTTGGCTCCATTCCACAAGTACCCTGCAGGAGGTAGGTTGGAAAAAAACACTGTGTAAGGTGATATTTAAAAGAGGGAGTTAATTTTCTTTCTGTCTAGTCTTTCAAAGCTTATGAAGTTGCAAGCTAAGTTTATTTGGGTCTCTCCCCAGTGTTTTCTTAATGTTCTAAGTGTTATTTTTTCTTCCATCTTTGCATTCCACAACAGCACACCTCCATGCTGGTATGAGCCAGTGAATTTTCATTTACCTTTATCAGCATCTGACCCTCAAGTTGCTGCTTTGTTGGCCAAGCCATTTATTCCTTTTCATTGTGTCCTACAAAGTTCACTGTGAGAGGCAGGAGCTGAGTTCATCGTGATTCTGATGTGATCAGCATCTTATTTGATTTATGATGTGCAATCTAAACTCTGCTGTCACTGGATATATTTTGTCATTTAGAAAAAGGAAAGTAAAAATTTGTATTTCCATAGATCAGAATTTGGGCAAAATTAGCTTCAAGCACACAATTTGGGTCTTAACAGGACTCAAGTTAAGATGTCTTTGTGATTTTTCATGGTTGACTCATTATACGTGGTTGGGCCAGTCCAAAATTTAACTACTGAGTAGACACAGCATAAAATAAAAATGCCTCTCTGCCTGAATTTTCCTGTAACAAATCAAATTAGATTTACACCTGTGCTTTTGTAAATTGTGGGATCTAGGAATTAATTAATAGAATTTAATTGCCTACTTCCCATCTCTATTGCTTCAAATGTATATAAAATGTGTAAAGAAATAACAGCAGTATGGAATATGATCAAAAGACGTGATTCCTGGTCTCTAAGTCCTACCACAATGATCGGTAGCCTGAGTCATGATTCCCAAAATGTCCACTTGCTAATCGTTGGAACCTGTAAAATTGT